GCACCAGTTACTATGGCAACAGTTACTATGATAACAGTTAGTTACTAGGGCAAAAGTTACTATGGTAACAGTTAGTTACTTTGGCAACAGTTACTATGGCAAAAGTTAGTTACTATGGCAACAGTTTACTATGGTACCGGTTGCTATGGTAACAGTTACCAGGGAAACGGTTGCTATGGATACGATTGCTATGGTTGCTTTCGAGCATGGGCCTTGAAACCCTAAAGAGTAATCAATTATTTGAATCAAATTTTTTTTCTCTAATAAACATTTGCAATTGACGAAAAGTAGAATTAAAGCTTTGTTCAATGAGATGTAAAAATAAAAATAAAAATTTCAACCTAATCTGATAATTGACGAGGCATTGATAGTTAAAAAGAAACTTTCTATTAGAAAGTCATGAATTGACGTCGAGAATAATTGCAATTATTAATTTTTGCATTAACCCTCGTCAAGAGAGCCGATAAGTGAACATGTATCGTTTGTTTGTATTTTTATTCCAATAAAAGAAGCGTCATTTTGATACGCGAGGCATATTCATTTATGTATATATATATATATAGACAAGTTTTGCATTTATACAGGAAATGAGAGTCTAGGCAACATCATAAAAGGACGGACTATTGCTTTATAATTTCCAAGAACGTTAATCCTCATATACGCACAACGATGAATTCTTCTTTTTGCTACTTTTTCTATAGAGCCAATATAAGAAGTCTTTCTACACAACACATACACCCTATTCTATTAATATATATATATGAATAAATAATAATTTGATGTTCAGTTCATAATTTTCCCTGTTGCTATGAATGTAAATAAATAATTTTAATATTAATCTTGTTCCGAACACTTTTGTCTAAATAAAATTAACATTCAAAGTGTAAACGAATTTTGCTGACTAGGACTAAAAATTTCTTCATGTATATTTTATAAACGCTTTTATATTTTATATATATATATATATATATTTCCAGAATCTTTTGTTATAATTTCCCTCTTGAAATATAGAAGTATAATAAAAGTCCATAGGAACAGCCTTAAACGGTGAATTTATTATTTTATATAATGTGAAATTTATATTCTATGAATTATGTTCCTGCGTATAACACCATTTTAATCTTCTCCTATAATACTTAAATCGATATAAAAGCATGCGGAAGAAAGCATGAAGCGGTAAATTCAAATATGGAAGTATATAATAAAGAGGAGACGAAATGGACGATCGTCCAGTTAAGAAAAGTGTTGATTAATTTCCAACGTTTCTGTCAAACATATTGTTTTTAAATTCTTTGGGTTCAAGTTAGGCTCAATGTAGCTCAAAGCAGGTCCAATGTAGGTTCAAAGTAGGTTCAGAATTGGCTTAATCTTAAGCTTAATCTTGGTCTAATGTAGGTCAAAGCTAAGGTAGGTTCAGTTTAGTCTTAATGTAGGTTAAAATGCTTTTTAAGTACGTTAAATGAAGGTTTAATTTAGGTCAAATGTAGGCTTAATATTGGCTTAATTTAGGTCAAAGTATTTTTAAAGTAGGTTCAACGTAGACTCAATTTAGGTCAAAGTTGGCTAAATATCGGCTTAAAGTTGGTCAAATATTGGTCTAAAGTTGGTCAAATGTACTTTAATTTAGACTTCAAAGTCTAAACTAGGTCAAAATTATCTCAAAGTAGTTTTAATGTAGGCTCAAAATAGTTTCGTTATAGGCTTAAAATAGCTCGTACAAAAATTCGCCAACCTGTCCCTGACCTGGTTTAAACAGGGAACCCGACTGGGACCACACTAGGCCTTGGTCGGGCCAAACTAGTTTTAATGTAGGCTCAAACTAGTTTCATTGTAGGCTCAAAATAAATCAAAATATTTAATGTATAATTTTATTTTTGATTCTTCATGTCATCTGCAACAGCAGTTATCACACGGTTTTCTACATTATATAAACATTAATGGCGTTCACGCACGATAGGAATTTTCCGATAACTGACCGCGCGCGGCCCTATAGGATTTATAGCGACGAACAAGCCGTTATGCCAATGGCAATGTGTAAACCGTCGCGTCTAATATCTATACCTATATCTATAATCGAGGATCGCGCACATTTACTGAAAACAATAGAATGTCGAATGGAACGATGTTGTGCGCGCATCGCGAAATCCTCGTGCTCGTCATTTGCCCTGGGACCTCTCGCACGCGGTAGCATAATCGAAAATTTTCATTCAAGGGAATGTCATGGCGGAATAATCTGTGTTTCGACACTTCCGGGAAAACATTTGTCTCGCGAGCCTTCTCTAGATTCGAAATTCTTTTCTCCAACATAGAATCAGATATAGAAAAAGAAAAAAAAAACTTTAGACACGTGAGAGAAGCTTCTCTCTTTATATGAATTTTTATTCGCTATGCACGTGGGGACAATCACGAATTCTGCAATGTTTTTTTTTTTTTTGCATACGAAACGTTCACGATTCCAGTAGAAAAAATTCTCTAGAAAAAGATACGATTTCTATTTGATGTTTAACCAAAATTATTTAAACTTAAAAAATGATACAAAATCTGAATTTAATTTCAAGATCAAAGTACCAAAATATAAAAAACAAAATGTGTTGAAAATTTCCATTCTATGGAGTCACACATAAACTATTATCAATATTCGCTTAACATCAATTAATGTTTGTCATTTCAATAACTTTTTGACCCCCTTCAAACAATTCACCTTTCCAAAAATGGTAAGAAAAGTGTCTATTCTATGCAAAGAAGTCATCGTTTCTTACAAATAGCAATGAAAAAGGAAAGATCAAAATTTAGATTCTAGTTTTATTGCTTGTTTCCAAATAGGTTTTCGACAAAAAAAAAAAAAACAGACGGCAAATTATTGTTATATTCTCTACTTCTCTTTATCTACAGAGAAAAGAAATTGCAATATTCGTGCGTAGAAATTGCCACATAATTAAACTATAAAGCAAACGATACACAATCGCTGCTGATCATCTTCCAATGGCATGCGTCCATAAGCATTGCACTCAAGTTCGAACCATGGATATTTTCGCACATACCATGTGATACACACATATGTGCACAAGAAGCAATAAAGTCGTGGTCTGAAAGTTCTCTTCGAGGGAGAGTGAGAAAGAAAATAAGAGAAAAAGAGAGACAGAGAGAGAGAGAGAGAGAGAGAGAGAGAGAGAGAGAGAGAGAGAGAGAGAGAGAGAGAGAGAGAGAGAGAGAGAGAGCAGTTCATATAACGTTGCGAATTCTACCGTTTACGGAGGGCGTGGAATTTCCAACACCGACGACGGTCCACCACAAACGACTTCTCTGGTATTTCTGGCATTTCAGTTCAAAGTTACGACATGAGAATCGTGAAACAAAAGTAACAAAATTGTCGTTTCACTGTCTCCTAAGTACATCAGATTTTAACTTTTTTTATTTTATTCAGACAATGGTCTTGAAAAAAAAGCTTCAAATGTGGTTATTTTGTTTTTTCTATTATTATTTTACTATTATCAAAATAAATATTTTTATTTAATAACTATTATTTTTATATTACTTATATATATATTTTTTTTTACTAATTTCTAAGATTTGAGCGCTTTAGTTAAGGACGCCATCACTAGGGGAAGTATTTTACTTGAGGACACCATCACTAGGGGAAGTATTTTAGTTGCAGACGCTACCGCTAGGGAAAGTATTTTAGTTGAGGACGCCATCACTAGGACAAGTATTTTAGTTGAGGACGCCATCACTAGGGCAAGTATTTTAGTTGAGGACGACATCACTAGGGGAAGTATTTTAGTTGAGGACGCCATCACTAGGGAAAGTATTTTAGTTGAAGACGCTACCGCTAGGGGAAGTATTTTAGTTAAGGACGCCATCACTAGGGGAAGTATTTTATTTGAGGACGCCATCACTAGGGGAAGTATTTTAGTTGAGGACGCCATCACTAGGGCAAGTATTTTAGTTGAGGACGCCATCACTAGGGGAAGTATTTTAGTTGAAAACGCTACCGCTAGGGGAAGTATTTTAGTTAAGGACGCCATCACTAGGGGAAGTATTTTAGTTGAGGACGCCATCACTAGGGGAAGTATTTTAGTTGAGGACGCCATCACTAGGGGAAGTATTTTAGTTGAGGACGCCATCACTAGGGGAAGTATTTTAGTTGAGGACGCCATCACTAGGGGAAGTATTTTAGTTGAGGACGCCATCACTAGGGGAAGTATTTTAGTTGAAGACGCTACCGCTAGGGGAAGTATTTTAGTTAAGGACGCCATCACTAGGGGAAGTATTTTAATTGAGGACGCCATCACTAGGAGAAGTATTTTAGTTGAGAACGCCATCACTAGGGGGAGTATTTGAGTTGAAGACGCTACCGCTAGAGGGAGTATTTGAGTTGAAGACGCTACCGCTAGAGGGACGCTACATATTTTTAAACAAGTTTATTTTTCACATAATATATAGTTCGTTTTTCGTACATAACTGAAAAATGACAATTTTCTTTTTCCTGCACAGGTATGTTATAAAATATTAAATTTTATCAGATTTTTTTTCAGAAATAATAAAGTCGTTATAAAAATGAAAATTACAATATATAATATTATCATCGAAAATTGAGCTATTGGTTTAGCTAACAACTTGAACGTTATCGAGTTCCCATAGCAGTTAAGTCGTTAGTCAATTCAACGGCTCAATTATACATAAACGTTATGGTATTGTTCACTGGGGTAAGGTGCTTTCATCATAGGAGGCTATCAATGTTAACACATCAATGTGTAGAAAAAAGAAATCAAATAAAACCACTAAAATATTTTTTGTAAGCATGACTAAACGAAAATCATTTTTCAAATCGAAACAATTTTTTTTGAACTGGAAAAAAATATTTCAGTCACTTGAATTTGTTTTTGTCTATTTTCCTTTCTAATCAAAAAAATATATTACCGCAATAGAAATAATATTAAAAATAATATGGATTTAAATAATTATTTTTGTAAATAAATTTTATTTTCAAACTCACTTACCGGTGGAGATGCATAATGGTGATGGTGGTGTGGGCGTCGTCGATGGCGATGTAACTCTCTTGGTAATTAATGCTGCTGGACTGTACCTTGGCACCTGCAACACGACGGGAGTTTTCACGGACAGATCCACAGGCTCAAGTTGTACCGGCGGTCCCGCCGCCTGTAAAAAAAAGACAAAACAAACTCGTCAGAAATTTGAAATTAACTTCTCACTATATAATTTTGTTCGTCTAGCAAAAGAGAGTCGGAAAATTTTCTCTACTAGAGTTATTATATGCGAACCATCGCGCACTTACGAAGTAATTTTCCAAACCGGCTAAACTGATGCGTCTTTCTCTTATAATGTCTAATTGAATTTCATAAGGCAAAATCGTGCCTTGTGATAAAAAAATTCATCGACAATTGAACAATTGAAAAATAAAAATTATCGTTTTCTCCTAATTAGTATTTTTGAAAAATTCTAAATGTCACAGAGACGAACATATAGGCAAAATTATGTACAGATTTTTTTCTAAAAAGAAAGTTGAAACGCAATAGTGAGAGCAAGAATCGACTAATGGTTTTCTTTTTGATAACAAATTCGAAAAGAAGTTTTCTATCAAATTTTTCAATTTATTGATGCGACCCATGGGTGGTGTGGCCTATCTCTTAGCGCGCAATTAGCATAACTAGCGTTAGTATTGACGTAGACTAATCACAACCAGTTCCCACGAGGTTCTGGTTGACCTGTGTCTGCCCATTGCTTATACACACTAGCCTTATATATATACTCTCTATCGTGCCGTGACGCACACTTAATAGCTTATAGTCTGCACGACTAATAGCCAATTGCCAACACAAAGTTCAACATTACTTTGATTGAGGCAAAATGTCTTCGGTGATCAGAAACTGGAAAATTGGGTTAATACAATTATTACATGGATATTGGTAGAAAAAAAAATTTTTTTTTTAATGGATAAATACACGTTACATGCTACTCGTTATGATAATATCTTTCGATATTCATTATATGTTATTTATCACAAATGAATAGGATGCAAATACTCTGTTATTTTCCGTAAACAAGTCACTTGTTCAATTAGCTTGATTGTTATACAATTATAGAACCCATTAAATTATTGTTGAATTAGGTTTTAATTTTCAAGTTTCAAATCAAAATTATCACAAAATCTGCTAAATCCAAAACTGATATTTGATGATTTTAATATTGATTTTTTTCAATTCAAAATTACCCCAAAATCTGCTAAATCCAAAACTTATATCTGATGATTTTAATATTGATTTTTTTCAATTCAAAATTACCCCAAATCTTCTAAATACAAAACTGATAACATCTGATGATTTTGTTATTTGTATTGATTGTTATACAATTAGAACCCATTAAATTATTTTTGAGTTAGGTTTGTAATTACTAAGTTTCAACTATTTCTATTTCAAAATTTCAAAGTACCTCAAATTTGCTAAATCCAAAATTGACACAATCTGATAATTTTAATATTGATTTCACAGTTCAATTCCAAATTACCCTAAATCTGCTAAATCCAAAACTGATAAAATCTAATGCCAATACTTCTGTTTCCATTTTCATTTTCTCATGATTCCTTAGGAAACCTAAAATGCAAATACAAATTCAATGCATCATCATTGAATCTCGAAGTTGACAGAAAGAAAATCTTCCTACAATATCAATAATTCTTTGTGTATATATGTATAAATATACAATTATACAATTGTTTCAAAAGAATTCTTTGATGAAACGTGGGAATTATTTTGGAATACCGCCGATACAAGAGACTACTTGTTGTCCTGCTATACCTGTCATATGAAAACAAAATAAATGGATCGTCTCGTAAAACATACTGTACGACGCTAATAACATCACGTAAGATCGTTTGTAGCCTGCCACATGTGACAGTAAACTCGTGCTTATTCAGCCCCAGTGGGAGAGAGGACGTTCGAAAATTTATTCACGATTAAAATCGTGTCGAATATTTCAACAAATGCAAAAAAAAAAAAAATTATATTCCCACAGAAATCTGATGCAACAAATCAAACAAAATATAATATTCCCTAACATACTTTTTCTTAAAATATATAATTTTTTGTAACTATTAATTATAATAATTATCATTCTCATTATTTTTCCTCCTTTCGAAAAAAAGGGTTAAAAGGTTAAAAAAAAAAAAAAAACAGAAAACAAATTCGTTCTTTTGAACGTTTTGAATTTCTAAGCACATGAAAGGAAAGTTAATTCACAGAACTGAATGAATTGCCATTCGTTTCAATAATAAAATAATCAAATATTATTATCTTTTATTATGTTGTCAATTTTGCGAGACGAGAATTCTTCGATAAATTGGGAACGTCATCGACTAACACGGAAGCTATTTCAATAACATCAATACATAGATATTAATGATCATATCAGACGAATCATTTCGCTAAAGAATTGTGATTATTCTCACAGAGATTTAATTCAAAAAAAAATCTATTGACACTTCTTTTCTTCTTATAATAATACAAAAAAAATTTTAAACCAAAAAAAAAATGAAACTAATAAAAAAAAAATTTCCATAGCCAAGAATCTTCTAAAATTTCATGCTCGTGTTGAATTTAACTGCAAAAAGAAACAACAAACGAAAGGTGTTTAATATTCTATTATAAGCTATATAGGAATATAAATTCAAGTAATTCATGAATCGTGCTTGAAACACCTCTCTTTTTTTTCATCATGTCTATATCTGCGCACTTAGCCTAATCTCACACACGCCAAGTGTTGGATAGCGTGATATGGTAGCCGTTACAAGAAAAGGCACCATGGATAATACATAATGGGCTCATCTTTCTAATAGCGCAATTATACATCAACTATAATAGACATCCTCGCCACTTTTTTTTACCTTCTCTTCCCTTTTAGAAAGTCTATCTGTATATTTTCAAAAAAAAAAAAAAATAATAATAATAATATAATATACATACTCTCAAATGTTTAACATATACCTTGTAATTTATAACCATCGATCAATATGTATACAGAAAACTTTCTTTCGTGTGTTATATTGCAAACAATTAATAAGAAAATATGTCAAGAAAATACCTTCCTAAGGAATAAATCTTGTTATTTTTCATTTATTGTTAATGGTAACTTCAAATGCTTCAAAGTTTTTGATTGGTCCAAAAAATATTCTGATTACCGTTTCAATGAATCGTTTATCTGATATTACTGAACCTTACGGTAAACAAAATTTTAGTTTAGGCTTACTACGGTAAATATTATGGCAACCATTACTATGGTAAATATTACTATGGTACCAATTACTTTGGTACCAGTTACTATGGTACCAATTAGTTACCATGGTACCCGTAACTATGTTAACAATTACTATGGTACTAATTACTTCGGTACCAGTTACTATGGTACTAATTAGTTACCATAGTAACAATTACTATGGTACCAATTACTGTGGTACCAATTACTATTGTACCAATTACTTTGGTACCAGTTACTACGGTACCAGTTACTATGGTACTAATTAGTTACTATGGTAGCAATTACTATGGTAGCAATTACTATTGTACCAATTACTTTGGTACTAGTTACTATGGTACTAATTAGTTACCATGGTAGAAATTACTATGGTACCAATTACATTGGTACTAGTTACTATGGTACCAATTAGTTACTATAGTAGCAATTACTACGGTACCAATTAATGTGGTACCAATTACTATTGTACCAATTACTTTGGTACCAATTACTTATGTACCAATTACTATGGTACCAGTTACTATGGTACTAATTAATTACTATGGTAGCAAATACTATTGTACCAATTACTTTGGTACCAGTTAGTTACTATAGTAGCAATTACTACGGTACCAATTAATGTGGTACCAATTATTATTGTACCAATTACTTTGGTACCAATTACTTATGTACCAATTACTATGGTACCAGTTACTATGGTACCAATTAGTTACCATGGTACCCGTAACTATGTTAACAATTACTATGGTACTAATTACTTCGGTACCAGTTACTATGGTACTAATTAGTTATCATAGTAGCAATTACTATGGTACCAATTACTTTGGTACCAATTACTTATGTAGCAATTACTATAGTACCAGTTACTATGGTATTAATTAATTACTATGGTAGCAATTACTATTGTACCAATTATTATTGTACCAATTACTATTGTACCAATTACTTTGGTACCAGTTACTATTGTACTAATTAGTTACCATAGTAGAAATTACTATGGTACCAATTACTTTGGTACTAGTTACTATGGTACCAATTAGTTACTATAGTAGCAATTACTATTCTACTAATTACTTTGGTACCAATTACTTTGGTACTAGTTACTATGGTACTAGTTACTATGGTACTAATTAGTTACTATGGTAGCAATTACTATGGTACCAATTACTTTGGTACCTGTTACTATGGTACCAATTACTTTGGTACCAGTTACTATGGTACAAGTTACTAGGGCAAATGTTATTATGGCAACTGTTTCCATGCTCTTTTTTTCTTTAGCAACCGTTGTTAAGAAATTTGTTTCCATTGCATAACGGTTTGGTTTTAATTTCTAGGCATTTAATAAAAAATAAAGAGTCAAAAATTCCCCCCTAAGAATATAAACGCAACATTTATTTAAATCAGCAAACATTACGAAGGATCTTTTAGTAAGCAAGAATCGTTTGTTGAAGAATAAGAAAGTAACGAAAAAAAAAAAAGATAAACTATTAGAAAGAGGCTCGTCGGAACGTTCTTACTCACGCATCTTATATCGCAAGAGACACGCCCCGTGACATCATCAGGAATGGATCTCGTTCCAGAGAGGTTGAGATGTAGGTACCTATGGCGCGAAAACCACAACAAGTCGAGGTGCATCAACCCGAAACGCATTTTGAAGTCGATGCAAACTTCGACCGATGCGAATTGAGCTGCAACGGATTTATAATGCATCGAGACACTCCCAATGCCGTTGCGTTATGTCCTTTCGCTATATATAAACTCTTCCTTATGTATATTTATATATATATATACCCAAGAGACTCTCTATCTTTTAATACTTATCGCGCTTAATTTTTATTAAATCTAAATCCAATTTGGTCCAGTCGTCATTATTTCAACTAATTTTTACTTGG